CTAACGTAAATTTGTAATTTAAGGGCATTTTTTGCACTTTTTAAGGGCATTAATTGAGATTTTTTAGGTCATCAGAACCCGGGCTCTAATCATAACAATAATGAAAAATCATTTTATATGTCAGTATTTTGATACTACTTAAAATTAAGATGGAGTGATAATATTTGTTCGAGTTAAGTAACATCTCTGAAGAAATGCAACTACTTTTATTTTATTTTATATCCGTCGTTGAACAGCCGATCCAATTTTTGGGTTTATGACTACTAATATGTTCACCTCCGTAGCCTTGTCATTCTGTTATAATTATTGCATAGACGAGGAAGCTTCTAGGTCAGTACCCCCAGAGGTATTGATTTGTTATGGAAACATGGAGGACTTTGTGACTCGACAGATTTAACGTGCATCAGTCACCATTTACTACACGGGAAGTCTTCGGCCGTCGGGGATCGAAGTTTCATAATAAAGTTTTTAAAAATATATTTAAATTCACGAGAGATAAAAAAGAACAGATTTGAACTCTTATAATAGCTTTTTCATTGAGTCGCACTATCTCTAGTTTTTTTTCAATTAGTATTCCGTCTTTCCATATTTCAATTACTATTTCCTGTAGTTTAGTATTCCAACACACACTGTGTTTTTGTGGAAAATATCACCTTTTTAAAAAAAAAAAAAAAAAAGAAGAAGATTTGCTCAGCTCTAAGGTTTAAATATATGTATATATATACATATATTTTGATCGTTAATTTTTAAATTTTTCAGTTGTTGATCTTCTATGTTCTCTGCCAAAAGCTATCAAAACTGGAATAATTGAGCCGCTCAAAGAACGTAAGCATTTTTCAATAATTATTATATTTTTTTTTTTTGTAATTTATATAGAATGAGCAATTTTGTCTGTTATTTAAAGAAACCTGCCTATTATATAAATAATAATAAGAATATTATGCTGAATTTTAATGCTTATTTGAAAAACTAGTGGATGTAGGAATATTTTTTTTGTTTTTTTTTGTTTAGATATTTTGAGATTAAAATTGCTTCGTTTTCATGTGATGAGAGAAAAGCTTAATATTCCTGTTAGAAGAGGTGACGTCATATTTGGCGATCGAAACCATTCTGGCTTTGAAATAAACTTCAAAATATAATTCATACAATAGATCGTTTACGATACAGATATTCATTACGATTTATACGATGTTCAATCTCTGGCCAATTTATTGGAGATTCTATGTAAGATCTTAATTATCAGGTGATACTAATACAGCCGTATTGTTTTTACGCAACTGAAACCGGTTTGCACTTGTTTACGTTCGTCTATCAATGGGTTAAATTAGACACGATACATAATATAAATTCGACGATTCGATGAATTAAACGATATATTATGATATATATATATTCTATATTTATATAATATGTTATATTTATTAATATATTATATGATTTATATAATATACTATATTTATATGATATGTTATACGATATATTATATAAATATAGAATATAAATATTATAGCAGGTATTATATTAGTATATTATAGCAATTAGGCCAAATTATTAGACTCACTTGCGTTTTTTTATTAGACTCACTTGCAATACTTTTATATTTAAACATACATGTATAAGGTTTTTATTCAGGAGATTTTTTATGCACTTGACGTATTGAATTACAATATTAACCAATTGACAGACGAGCGTAAATAGGTGCAAACGGTCACATAAAGAACAATAAAGCTGTATCACCTGATAGTTAAGATTTTACATAGAATCTTTACAGTGCGTCTCATAATTTGGCCCCAGGGACTGTATATATTGAAAATAAACTTCAAAATATAATTAATGAGTCAAATGTAATACAACATATTTATTTTTTTTCAATATTTANAAAATCTTATGAGGAAAAAAATGTTTTTTTAAAAAAAATGGCGGGAAAATGTATCGAATTTCGTTCCGGTTTTTTGGTTTTCCGGATAACGGGTTCTGTACTGTATAATTCATACAATAGATAGTTTACGATACAGATATTCATTACGATTTATACGATGTTCAGTCTCCGGCCAATTTATTGGAGATTCTATGTAAGATCTTAATTATCACGTGATACAGCATTTACCCCTGTTTACGTTCGTCTATCAATGGGTTAAATTAGATAAGATATATAATATAAATTCGACGATAGGATGAATTAAACGATATATTATGATATATATATATATTCTATATTTATATAATATGTTATATTTATTAATATATTATATGATTTATATAATATACTATATTTATATGATATGTTATACGATATATTATATAAATATAGAATATAAATATTATAGCAGGTATTATATTAGTATATTATAACAATTAGACCAAATTATTAGACTCACTTGCAATACTTTTATATTTAAAATACATGTATAAGGTTTTTTATTCAGGAGATTGTTTATGCACTTGACGTATTGAATTACAATATTAACCAATTGACAGACGAACGCAAATAGGTGCAAACGGTCACATAAAGAACAATAAAGCTGTATCACCTGATAGTTAAGATTTTACATAGAATCTTTACAGTGCGTCTCATAATTTGGCCAGAGACTGTATAGATTGAAAATAAACTTCAAAATATAATTAATGAGTCAAATGTAATACAACATATTTATTTTTTTTTCAATATTTAGTTAGGATAAATATTTACTTTTTTTGTGATGAATTCAAGAAGGATATAGAAAATCATAATCAGTGACATTTTATGATACAAATAATCGTTGTTAAGTATTATTATGAATCGATCACACATATTCCAAAAAATACTTTTTTGTTATGCATACTGTGCGGCATCCATTTTTTTATAATATTACCTTCACTAAAGTTTTTTTTTAAAGGTTAATTGGCAATTGAAATGTTTAAAAACGAAAATGCTATTTCTCGTTGTTCGTAGACTTTGTAACATTTTTAAAGCTGTCTTTTAAACCTTTTTCGCTTTCAAATCCTGATCTACCCTAAACTATACAACAATCATTTATTTTTATACAACAATAATAACCTATAGCATCAGACTTGGCAGAATAGTCAAAAGTCAAGGAATCAAACAATTTAAATGAGTGCGCCATTTGGAAGGTTGTGGATAAAGCGTGATCTATATTTCCTTTAACTTTACAAAAATTTCTAATTTAACTCACATTTTCCAAACTGCCGTTCATTTCAATTCTTAAAGTAACTATTAGTAGTTTTTGTTTGATTAATTGGCTAGATTACTTATTTAAACAAATTATTAAATTAAATTGTTTACTTCACTCTATCCAAGTGGGCAGGCAAAACTATTGGACAATATTGACTTGATATAAAAAATTGAATTTAAAAAGAATTATGATAATAAAAAGAGGAAAGCGTCTAGAAATGCTTCTTTACAGGATTTCTCTCTTAGTTAAATCTCTTAGTTAGCTAATATAAGAGTCATTTAGCTGATTTAACGCTAAACATACCAACACTTAATCCATACCTATTTCTACCATAGACGGTCGGACTCTAATGTTTCTTGATTGAATGTAGGAAATACGGATGTTGGGAAGGAAATTAACTAAAATTATAATCAAACAAAATTATATGCGCCAATTTTTGAAATTATACTTCTTATGCGACTTCCAACAAGGTTGCGTTAAACGTTTAACGCTACATTTTTATTGGCCGGGAAATCACGTGGTAGGATCCAGTTTTCCCTCATTCATTTCCATATTGTTTTGGTTCTCACTAGCATAAAAATAATAAAAGTCATAAAAGTATTGTT